GCACATGCTAATTTTGATACGTTAATGCATAATAAATTTCACATTGAGAAATATATATCCTATTATTAGTCTTCTCTTTTCAATATAAAACGAACACGCACCACAATGTCTAAACTAGTTTACCAGCAGAAAGAACACGGTTCTATACAAAACTCACTTAACTACTTAAACCTAACAGTCACTGCAAACGTACTTTGTTCAGTTTATCATTGTTCATACACACATGATTTTATTTTAATTTCCAGTGGATATCTGAAAGTTTCCAATGAGACCACATAAGCCTATTTACCTGCACAGTGCTGCCTTAAAAGACACTGGGCAGTGAGTTTGAATATTGAACTTCTAGGAAATTAAATATTTAGCATCAAAGAAATAAATGGAGCAGCATGATACAGTGTATATGATGTGTGACAGCATTAGAGCTATAAGGGGAAATAAAAGAAAGCTAAGGTGTAAAAGAACTTCAAATCATGCTGAAAGGCAGAGTTTCACTGCCTTCTCACACCTTGGAGGACACCTGTGCATCACTGCAGAACCATGAAAAGATTTTCAGGAGCTGTTAAGTTGCTCCTTGATGAAACACTGTTTAAATCAAGCAAATATTCTTTAATCTGTACATACTGTATAATTTGACACCAGGTTCTACAGTTAGAGTATACAAGATGTAATCATTCAGAGCTATCCATTCAAAGTTTGTCCAATAAGCTTTTTGATAGAAAAACCTTCAAGGTCCATGACCAGATAATAACAAAACCCGTTTGATAAGCTTCTGTCACTCCCAACCAAATGGCTACTGTATGACAGTTACTATTTTCTTAGTCAAAACTATGTCAAAACATTGGCCTAATATATTTTCTTTGTCTGATTATTGATGACTGACACCAGTCAGCACAGGTCTAAACAAAAGTCAATGAAAAGAAAGGCTTGGACTGCCACTTTCAACTCCACAGAAAAAAAAAATATCTCTTTAAAAGAATAAGACTAATGAAATGAGTGGAGCCTCTGATGGTTCAGTGACTTAATGTCTTTTATTGTCCACTGCTGAACTCGTACTGCTGTGACTATCTCCAGGAATGCACATTCGATGGTGAGGGAAATGGAAATGTCAAGAGCAATTTCACAGTCAGGAGAAGGAGAGAAAAGGTCAAAGATGTGTGAAAGCTCAACAAGAAGAAATGCCACTTTTATTGACTCAGTGGATCGCTCTCCGCATTATAGTTTTCCTCGGTTGCTTTGGCACATTACTCAAATCATCTTTAATATTTGCAAAAATTAAGTGCTTTTCTTGAAAAAAAAATGTGTAAAGAGCATTACAGCTGTCAAATAAATGTAGTGGAGAAAAAAAAATGCAATATTTAACTGTATCCAAAAAGTAATAGAAAATGAAATGACTGAAGTAAAGTGTACCATACGCAAGTGCCTCAAAACTCTACATGAATACGTGTATTTGTTCCCTTTATCACTTCACAACCCTTAAAGGGGTTACCAAATAAGAATTACAAGAATGAGAAGCAATATTTCTATTACACAAAATAATGTTTAGAACAGTATCCTATGACCTTCTTTATTGTTTTCTGTGAAATACTCTGAGCTCTCAACTTCTCAGGGTTGTAAAAAATCCTTTACATTAAATAATCTGAGAGGGAAAAAAAAAACACTTTCTGGATGAACTGCTCTATTTAGGGGTTTCAGAAAGGTTTGGTGCCACTGAGCTGACATGGCTAACGACACTGAAAAGGCAGCAATAACGTACAGAAGGGCTCAGCAAACACGTTCAGCCATATGCCACTTCTATACAGAAATACAGATATCATTTTCCCCATTGGTAAGCTTGTGATGACAGTTTCCGCAGATTTATATGGCTGCTCAGATGGGAAAAATGAGAATTTATAATGCATGCAAATGTATGCGTTATGTTGCACTACAGGAGTTGAAATGTAATAGATAAGTTATTCACACAAAATAAATGGGGAGAAAAGCAGCACTCCATTTCAGTTCAACTGTCTGTCACCTGTGGGTAAAAAACTTAAACACATTATGAATGAATGATTTTTACTTTCATAAACCTCCCTAACCCTAGCATTAAATGATACTGAAGGACAGGCAGAAAGCAAAATGAATCATGGTATTATAATCTTCCTAGAGTTTCTGTCACAACTGAACATGCATACATCAGCACACTTGGTTCACATCATAAATATGGATTCAGCCTGTGTTTGTAAGTGGCTTAATAAAAGATGGGATCACTCTTTCACGTCAAAACAGAGCCCTGCTGTGTGTTTGGCTGCTTCTTCGTTTAATAATATAGCAAACTATCCCCCTCTAGAAAACTAACTCATTAATGTAACTAATGAAAGCACCAGAATTAACATGCAGGTAAGTTCCTTTTCTGCATGGTTTGGCCATCACATCTCTGACACAACCAAACAAACAGGATTATGATTATAAGCCTATCATAAACAAAATAAATTCACTATAATGCCAGTGCAGTTGTACACTTGTTTGATTCTGCAAAAGCTCACAGACAAAAAGAACCATAAATAAAAAAAAGGTTCCTAGTTGACCTCATATACCAGGTGAGATAAAATGATCACACTTTAGTTTGAGAAGTTTTGACTTTAAATACTCACCACTCCAGGAAAGATTTTAGTGAGTCGGTCAACAGCTGCCATGGCCTTGGCCTTCCCTCCTCCTAGACAGTCCTCAAACTCGTAGAGCGGCTGCCGAACTGGATTGGAGTACGAGATCTTTGCATTGTCCACAAATGTGATGCGTCTCACTCCCCATCCCTGGAGAAGAAAGGAGAAGCACCATTCATATTTTTAATTACATTCTTTTTGAACCACTATTTCAAAAGTGGCATGAACACTGTCCTAAGCAGTGGAAACGATGAGGGGGAGGTTGTGTTAGCAGCTCCACTTTCATTTTGAAAAAATGGATGTATCAATGCACAGCTAAAACAACCTTATGCTATTTTTAAAATGTATGCTTTTCATTAATGTCACTCTCTAGTAACAAAGAGTCTCGACAGAATAACAAATCATTACACCAGGCTTTTTTTTTTTGTTTATTGTTACACTAAATGACAGAATGTCTAAGTGCTCCAACAGTAACTGCAGGCAGGAACATGCTGACAATGCTCCAATGTCAACATTTGGTTAAAGCTCCTATATCTCTCATAATCAAACAAAACATTGAAAAGCATTTATAAAATATTCTACTTTGTACACATTAGCTACAGTACCTAAAGAAACAGATCAAATAAAACAGATACTTCTATAACAGTGTCTGACACTTTGAGCACTATGTAGGTTCTCATGAATATTGAATAATATACTCCAACAAATTAGCAAATATGATCATCATCATCGCTTCATAGGGGCACAAGTGGTCAAAAAGCCAGAGTGCACGTCATTACAAAATACTGTGTGGTCCATTATGTTATATCATTTTAAAAATGTTCAAAACAGTGTGTCAAAGTCCAGAAATGTTACATAATTTTAAAAACGTTCAAAACAGTGTGTCAAAGTCCAGAATAAATTTATCACTGTGTCCACCCATCTGCCATCTGTCTGTTTTTCCACCCTTACCATTAGAGTCCTGGCTACATTACAGCCCAGAGTTCCAGCACCCAGCAGAAGACACTTTGTGCTGACCACCTTATCCAGGTCCAGGGAAGGAACCAGCCTCCATCTCATTAACTTCAGGTTCAGGTCCACTGACGACTCTGCAAGCCTGAAGAAAGTCCATTGAGACTGAAGACCCTCTCTGTCTTCAAAATTCATTTAAGCAGATCCACAAAGAGCTAACTTATGGAAAAAGTGTCCACAGCAACAGATGGCACAGTACGTAGGAAAAATGCCATTTGTTTCCATTGTGCAGGTATGACAAATGTGTAATTCCAGCTCCTTTACATTAAACACCAAAGGCCTAAGCTTTGTTGTAGATTATCAACTTTGCCTAATACATACTGATAAACTAAAATAGATTAATAATGTCACATTCATGTTTATCAATCGCTGAAATGTGGTTTGGCTTGGAAGCTGACGAAGTCTGTTCGCTCCCTTACACCTCAACACACTTACACTTTACCTTTTGGGGTCCATGCATTCACTGAGGTTGACCATCCTGGGCCCCATGGCTCCCTTAGGGTTCTTCTCCCAACCTACACTCTTTGGACACACTGGGGGGGGGGCGAAAAAAACACAGTAACAATGTAAAATAAGCAAAGATGTGCTATGAAAAGACAACAATGACACAGCTGGTGTCAGTGTTCCATATTTACAAAAGATTTGCTCACTGCTTCCTAATCAACCAGTCTCAGGCCATGAAGAAATGGTAATATTACTTGCTCAAGTTTTGATATATCCATGCCTGAGATTTCTCGCTCCACTCGAATACAAAGGTGAAAGAATATGGTTTGTGGTGCGAACAGCATTGAAAAATTGCAGTTCAAATATTCAAGAAAGGTCTGTTACTTTAGAAAATCCAGTGTTTTCACTGGAACTGTTTTGTCATGAAGAAACAGTCGAACAAAACTACTGACATGTCTACCACTCAGTGAGTTTATTTGGGCGAAATATTCATTGAAATATTCAGAGTGTCCTTTTACATAAATAAAAAAAAAAAATGTAGAGCAAAAATGAAAAACAAGATGCCTCTAACCACTGACCTCTTTCTCATTCATAAACATTTCTCTTGACAGATAAAATTGAATAGTTAATTTATGCTTTCGAACAAGTAATTTCCAGTCAATAAGAAAGTCCAGTCATACAGAAAGAAATGTTAAGCAAAAAAATATCATTTATTGCTCCATTTCAGTGAACTGACAATTTAAATGGGCAACATCAGTTGAATTTCTATTTTAAACCTACATATAAAGATATTAATTCATGCAGTCACACATATACTATATATATTTCCCTCTGTTTTCATCATGCCACACTGCTCTTAGATAATGGCAGAGCTGAGCCTAGTGTATCTGAAAAGCAGGGCCAAGGAGGACTGGTTAATCCACTTCAAAACAATACCAAATTTGTACACGCAAAACCAGCTGAATCAGTTCTTCTTGCATGAATACATCCACAGTGAGTTAATTAAAACCCACAATGTGCTGAAAAGTTGGACTGAGGTAAACAGAGTCGCCTCATCTCATCGTAACCTCAACAAAACCTTCACAGATCAAAGAGCTACCACTGTTCCCATCCAGCTGCAGTATTACCATTTAAATTACTTTCATTCCTTATTAAACAGATAAAGGAATAATGGAGAAGCTGTGTCAGATTAGTGCATCTTGAAAAAGAAGCAAATAGTCTCAGTGTTGAGCGAACTACTCTAAGTCTGGGGGTTCATATCAGTTACAATATGCATAATAAATTCACACAAGTACACACACGTTCAGATGAACAAGTACAAATGTAGACTAAACACAAAGACATACTGTAACACACACATATGCACGTTAAATACTGTTGCACTCATAGATATAAAGAAGACAGACACACACATAAAAGAAAGGAGATTACCCGAGTTCTTGGAAAGTTTAGGTAGTTTGACTTGGAAAATGACACTGTGCTGAATGGAGCGCCTTCCCTGCAAGGTTCTGTCCCTGAAACACAGCACCTCAACTTGGTCCAGCTTAGAGCCCCTGGCACGCACGCACACACACACAAACAAAAAAAGCAGATGCAAAAGTCAAACAATGAAAATAATATGTACATGATCAGATTAGAAGCTACAGATATGTGAACTACAATTGAAAAGAATCATGTACATTATGAAAATGTCTGGTATATACATGGTACGTTATGCTGTAACTTAACATGGGAAATGCTCTCTCTCTCCTTCTGTAGTACAAGAAACAACACACAGACAAATGAGCACTCACAACAATATGATCTTCCATCACATTTCCCCTAATATGGTACCAAATGACTCAGTCAGATTACACAGTGATCAGGCTCTAGTGAAATAATTGAAAAAGTGAGACACTGAGGATATGGTGTAATATCATCTCAGCCAATATCAACAGTTTATGTTTAACACTAACAGCAAGTGTAGTCAAGCACAAGATTGATGAGGTCTGTATTGGATAAAAGACTAGACTATCTGAAGGTTTCTGCTTCTGATAAGCCACTGGTATGACAAAACAGCATTACTAAACTGGTCTCAGTGGGAGTTCATCTTAAATTATTATGCAATCTTTTTTTTTTTGAAATAGCAACACCAGTGCCAGGAAAAACTAAGCTCTCGATGAGTTTGGCAAAAAAAAAAAAAAGACTGACCATGGAAGTGAATTTAGAGCTGTATAAGTGCTTTCAAACAAACTGTTTCACCTGACTAAACTGAAACTGCAACTGTGAAATATGCAGCACCAAATGCAATGTTTATGTTACTGACATCCTCAGATGATGTCACGGTATGATGATGTGATGTAACAAATGCTTCCCCTTCATTTTCAGACAGTATCAAGGTCAAGGAAGGATTACTGTAGCAGTTGCTTGTTCTTGTTTAAGACTAGCATCCCATCAACAGCTATTACATCTGAAATACATATATAAAAAAAATAAAGTTATGGCTGTGTATATCAGGGAAAACATGCCTTATTCACCACTGATAAAGATGTTTCTAAGAGGATAACGTGGTGTTGAAGCACAGCCTTGTTTAGAATCAAGAATAAATGATACCTATAAGTACTGTAGGAGCCCTGTTAAATTTATTACAAACAAAAATCTATTTCAGGCATGGCTGGTGACCAAGTTCTTCCAAGTTCCAGTGACCAAGAGTTTCCTATGAATTTCCTAAAAATGAATCAGTCTTTTAATACTGGTCCCTATTTGTATTCTCAGAACATAATGCGACTCGTCTTTACATTTTTATTTCTGTGGGCTCATGCATTATTTTGTACAGTATGTGTGACACCTGTGCTGTATGTCACTTGTTCATAATTTTTGTGTAAATATTTGAATACCATTAAACAAAAACTCATGGATTAAGTGCTCACAGCTTGTGCAAGCTGCCCACTGGATGGTGGAAGAATTTCTTCTGTCAACATTTCAGTAAAATATATCTCTCCATAAAACACATCATTTCCACATTCCACTGTTGTTTCTGCAATAACTCGAGTCAACAAACACTCAGCAGTGTAAGAGAAGTAACATTATAATGCTGTGAAATCTATTATTCTTGTCCATAAAACATGAAAACGTAAGAAGCTGCTTTTCACTTCATGCCTACAGCAGATGTCAAGACACATTAAACTAATAACATTTAATACTTTAATCCCTCCCATCTTCCTGCTAGCAGACCCCTTCCTGAACCTATAAATGGGAGAACAAAGCTTGCTCATGCCTTTCAAATCACTAATGGCCACCTAAAGTATTAAAAAAATAAAATGCAGTACCTGTATGTGAGAAAGGGGTTAACATACACAGGAATTTCCCCATTGTGGGATCAATAAAGTCCTACCTACACACACACACACACACACACAATCATATCTTTCTATAGCTGTGAGAACACTCAGTAACATAATGCACACTTCCCTGTCCCCAGCCCTAAGTCTGACTTTTGTTTTAAGACCACTCTGACTAAACAGTGGTTTTTCATTTTGACAGGAAACCTCTGATTTTACATTTTTGTAATGGTACAAAAAAGGTAATGAAATCAAATTTGGAAGTTGGTGTCAATATCCACGTTTGTCATCTGCTTCCTAGAAAAAGAAAGCAGGGGTTTCCTGTTTTTCAATTGGTGGCTTTGTGCCGAAATATTACTCAGTGTAAACTAAAGCACATTCATAGTTAAATTTACAACATTCTTGAAAATGCACAGTCCTCTGGAGAACTTCCGTATCTTTTGCCAGCATACACACACTCAACACATTTGGTCCCCATGAGGAAGCCAAGTCCCCACACTGTGAGTAACACACAAACAAACACAAAGAAGGAGTGTTTACCATCGGTTAGCTAAGAGGACCAGCAGATTTCTCAGAGGCCAGCCCGGATACTGAGACAGAGTACACGGATCATAGACGCCCACAGTAACCTGGAAAAAACAAAAATTAAATAGTTTGGAAACTTTTTGTAGAAATATTTAAAATCACACTCAAATGATCTGACTGCAAAAATGTTTGGATCTGTTGCTTTGAAAGACGAAAAGCATTTTTAAAACACACAATACAAAAAACATAATAATAATCAGAAGGTAATTTTGTAATTGTGGACTATATAAATAAAACTGTCTTGACTTGACTACCTTCTTAGTATCAAGGAAGAATGTTTCCCAGTCCCCCAGAAGAGCCAACTGAACAGTGTCCTCCTTGTACTTCATCAGGAAGTAAGGAAGTGCAGTGGTCCCACTTTTGATACACAGGCCATCGTAGGCTTCCTGCAACGCTATGATCTGAGACAGGAATTATTAGGAGTCATGAATATTTAAATAAATTCAGTCCTAAGTAATATGTCTTATAATGTCTTGTGGTACTGTGGAACACATGAGGTTTACAGAAGCATCATATGAACAATCACAAAGCTAACTTACAATCAATGAACGGATATATACACCACATTTTACATGGATAACTCTTTCTGAAGCATTTTACTGATTATGAACACATACACTATAAATTTGTTGCACTCTTCCCAAAAACATTATTTATGAACATCGTCAATGAGAATTAATATTGCATTTCTAAAGTAAAGATCAATAGTTTACCACAGTCAGACTGGTCTGTGAATTCATACTGTGATTCTGGCCTGAACTTGACACTGAACTGATTGAACTTTGACAGGTTGGAACCTTATCTAGTGAATCTCAGTTCTGAACTGTCAAAGTGTTAAACTGAGTTTTTATGGCAAAAGAAAGAGACAACAGAAACAGAGAGGGGAGAGAGTTCATGAGTCACAATAGCAAGGTTTTTTTTCTTACATGACTATTTTATAACCTAAACAATTTAGCTATTCAAGAATAATGTCTGAAGCTGCATAAAGGGCTGTCACTTGCTCATTCTCTTTTCATCCAGTATTAAAGCTGAAACATACTGCATGCCGTGTTCAGCACGCAAGCACCTCTGTGGATGTGTGCATACTGCCTGCAACAATCAATGGGTACATCTCAATTCCCTTAACTTCTTGCTTGACTTGGAAGTCGTTCCAGCCCGCCATCATGGAGGAGACCTCAGATAACGGATCAGAGGAAAGGACGTCTCATGTCTTTTAAAATGCATTTCCTCTCTCGCATCTTATGTGGGCGTAAGGAAAAGATACAAGTGAGGGAAATGTGTACGCAATTAAGGGAACTGAGATGTACCCTATGTGTATATACTCTTGTCTGCTTAGGTATTGCTGTTGCTCTCTGACACTATAGTAGACGCGGTGAACCGGCCTACAGCAAGCACACAGGAAGGCTGCATTAAAACAAGAAAACAGGAGAAGCAAAATGTTGCAGTTCTTTTTTAAACCCTTTACAGTTTCTTTCTATCAGTGCTGTACAGAATGTGTATAGGGTCTTAATTGTTCCTCTGGTCCTGGTTCCTTAAATGTTCCTCTGGTCATTATAAATACATTAGTTATATGATTATCAGTGCATTTTGGAAGGATGCAGAAAAGGAAGTGCTTGGATTGGGGTTCCCACCCCACAGACCAATAAGCCAGTCATCAACAAGGAGTTGCGTGGAGTCAGTGCTGTCACAAAACACAGTGTTTCATATTTCAAAACTCTGACTGGCTGCAATTACATAATTGCAGAAGTCTGTGGGCAAGTGAGGGTGTTCACAAGCCCACTGTAAGAGCCATGCAGCCATCTTAAGACAGTCTTAGGAAAGAAGAAATGTAAAAAGAAGCTGGAATAATATATTCATTTTCAGGCCAACATATGTAAAAAAAAAAAAAAAACCCTTGTAAAAGAGCAAAACATTTACTCTAATAATGCTGTAATTCAGTTATAAATTTTATATGTAGAATTTGTACTGAGCATCAACACAAGGAATTCAGAGTATTTATGCTGAACAATTGCCAAAAACTCCAAATTTAGAAACCAGGAAGAAGCAATGCACCTACAGTATAATTTCAAATTGTGCTGTCCAAAATATTCATTTCAGTTATTGTATAATAATCTTTAAAAAGCCAACCTGTTTTGCTGAGAAAACTTGCTCTAGGACTGAAGGCTGCTGGATAATCTTTATCCCCTCTGAGAAACAGAGCGCAGGGAAGCAGAACCAGTAATAGAAATGGTACTTCTTCAAATCCTGAAAAAATATTGTTGATACATAAGTGCAAGACAAATAGAAAGAAAGTTTACATATATTTATTTTATATAAAACACATTATACATACTGCAAAGGTCAGCAGAATGAATCTACAGAGGACGGATGGGTCCTTCAGTGCAGCCCCAGACTGTATGGCATCCCATATCTACAAAAATACAACAGATGAAAATTTGCATCAGTCAATCATTTAATTTTCTCTTCCATAACATTTCTGATTTATGTTTTACAAAGATGCTCCACCAGATGTATGTTTGTGAATATGTACTTACCTCCTTAGCCTCTTTCTCCAACAGAGCCTTCTTATCAGTGGTCTTAAAGGCATCAAGTGTGTTGGTGTTATACAGCGTACCAATAGCTGGACAGCAATGGGCTGGGGTCGGACCATCCCTAACAGCAAAAAATATTTACAGTACATGCTACATTTTCTAAATGTGAACACAGCTCTTTTGCTGCAGACTTCCAAATGACCTGATGTGAAGCTGATACCCATTTATTTCAAGCCTATTCTGACCTGTATACATACTCATCATTAAACTACTACAAATTACCAATAATAACAACATGTGAATCTCTAAAGATTTGCTCCTTAAGATCGTTTTAACAACTGTTACAGTAAAATAAGTGTTTCCTGTTGGTTTTAAATACAGAGATTAGTCACATAAGCCTTTTTTACACCTAATGGTAACAAAATTAATTATATAAAAACAGGCTTGTAACATTCATAACTTTGACAGTGATAGTAGATTCCAAATTGTGCTTTGCGGTGGTGGTTCAGTATATATATATTTACATTTGTATATCGACTGTGCTTTTAAAGATTCAATAGCAACAAAAGAACCTAGGGTTAGGATATGTTTATGTAGCATCATACTTACACATCAAATGCACTGAACTCCAAAGTCAGACGAGTAGGCAAACCATCAGAGTCACCTATAGGACAGCGATTTGAATAAAAATTTTAACAATGTTTCAAAGTTGCTATTTAAAACAAATGGCTCTAGATTAGCAAGTTCGCCTCTAGTACGCAACCTATGTGTGTGACACTGTATAATAAACATACTGTATATGTTACATACGGTCTTAAATTGTTTTGTTTTTTTTAAGTGAAAAAACATCAAATGAAGAGTCATCATTATATGGCTACCATCTGATCACACTGCTCACCATTGTAGTAGTATCCTTTGATACTTTTGGGGCTCTCATCTAGCCTATAGTCATTAAGTTTCCTTTGAGTAAGCTGGTGCCAGAAACCTGCCTCCAGAGCACTGCTAAAGGGTGCGAACTGCAGCTTGAGGTCTGTGGTGGAGGACGCTGCTTCACTGGTGTCAGATGCCATCACAATTTCACTGACAAGCTGTGCAGCCAAGTTCTACAAGCTGTGAAATGAAACAGTTGTAGGTTACAAAACACTTGCAGGCTCCATCTATCTATATTACGTCAGAACATGGCAACACAGTTATCAGGACCCCAAGGTGGTGTCTACAGTTGTCCTTTATTATCCAGTACCCCAAAATATGCAGTTTGCAATTATATAAAACAGTGAAAACTGAAAATCTTCACACTAGTCTAGCTGCCCATTCATTTTATAATCAACTAAATCAACTATTCATTTTAGCTCTATACATTTCTTTGGACTACTCTGAGTAATCGCCCTTACATTTTACACAATACAGAGTAAATTACTAATCATTTCATTCCAAAGGTAATTTATTGATTATTGTACCAAATTATCATCACATCCAATTGCTATGTCATCTGATAACATCTAGTAACATATATTGATAACATTCTGGCCTATATATATATACTAAAAATGAAGTTATGTCTGATTCTGATTCTGATGTCTTACCAGTCTTGGGTTATTTGAATGCTTTGTTGGTGGCAAAAATGAAGCTCTAAGACCTGCAATCCTTAACACTTATCACTGTCGTCTTTAATATTTCGGGGCTTTAGAGCATTATACGCACGTTATTCCATGTTTAAATTCCATATTTACCTCCTCGGGAATTTTACACTTGTGAAGTTACTGTGCAGAAAGTTAACACAGACCACACAGTGAAAGCAGAAGCTACAGTATGACAGTTTAAACTGTGTAACGTGTTCTGATTCGGCCAGTATCTTCAAGGAAACAAATCACGATACGACAGTATAAATGTACTACAAGCCATATCAGCGAGGGCAACGTTAAATGAGAGACATAGCTTTAAATGTCAAATTTTAAAAAGCTGAGCGGTTTTGACTTACCACAAATCCTCACTTCCGTGACTTGGGTCACGTGATTGCGTCACTTGTCAATAAGGCAATGCAGTATGGGTAGCCCGTAAAGTTAGCTTAGCTGCTACAAAAATGTATCTCTAGTTTATGGTGCAAGTACAAGTGAGTAAAATATAAAGTACCAAAACAAAAACAAGAACCCGCAAACGACGAAACACGAGAAAACTGACATAAATCTGTACGCACCGTTTCTTTTCATGTCGGGGTGAATAGAGGGGTACTAAGTACGGCTACACCAACCTTACTGAGAGGTAGGCTAGCGTCTGTATACCGCACTACATACCATCGGTGTCAGAAGGTGAAGTCACAAACATAACACGACTGTACTGAGATAGATAAAGGATAAAGGTCCATAATTCCGAAAATGTAAGAAAGGGGCTACGAGTGGATTTTTACTAGAATGATGACCGGGAAACCAGAAATTGCTCCACCTGGACACCGGATTGTGCCACTATGAGTTAGGGACCGTGTAAAAACTATACGCCCGAGAAAAAACGCATGGTATTGAGTTCAAGCCCAGCAACAAGTTTTCGACTTAAATGAAAGGTAAAGGTAAAAATCCAGGAGCAAATATAATTAAGAGAACTCTTAGGCGAGTTAAGATAAGATCATAAATAAACATTAATACACCCTACATAAATCATTTGATTAATCGCATTTGTTTTCTAAGGGGTTAACTATGACAATTCATAAACAGTAACATATTACAGTACTGTATAATGAAGAATCAATTATTATCTATAAACCATCCTGGAATAGACATCATTTACACAGACAATGTTGAATTTGTCTTATGAATTCTGAAAATATATATATTTCATATTAAATAACTATTTTCAATATTTAACATTTTCCTTGGCTCACATTTGCAGTTGCATATGCAGTATTTCACTCTCTGTATCAAATTTACTATTGTCCTGTTTAAATTCCTTCTTTTAATTCCAGTAAAATAACATTTCATTTTCACTTTATTTTGCTTTATTGAATCAAGATGCTTTCAAAATAAACGTGCAAACACTACAGTAGACTACTAGAATAAAATGGGGCCACTTATAGGTCCCTGTTTTGCAGCAGCATTTTGTGTTGTTAAGGCACTGGCAGGCATGGCAAATGTCTGCCATGCCCTGTCATTGAAATTTGCCTCATGCGGTCCACTCCTATTTATACTTATTATGTAAAAAATATATTCTACAAATAAGTACAAATATCCTGTGACAGCCACCTCAGAAATTCACAAACAGATCACTACCCCACGGAGACATTTTGAGGGTCCATGGATCAATTAAAAAAAATCTTCACACTTCACAAGAGTTCAGTTTTCTTACAGTTTCAAAACAGACCACTTAAACACCTCAGACAGCCTCAGTGCTGCACACTGTACCATTGCCTGATTAACGAGGCAAACCTGAAACCACAACTCAACCACAAAATAAGAAACAGCTTATTATCCCTGTGATGTAAAAGGTGCAGAGGTCCTCCATACTCACTGAAAAAAAATGTATGCTGACCATGAAGGTGATGGTCTTGTCCCTCACTAGATTGGAGCTTGGTGGGTTTTCTTAAAATAATGGTAGTAATAGTTATAATTACACTGAAATTTGTTTGGGCAAGGGGGAATTTCATTTGAAGCTTGAGCCCCTGTGGCCAATATGCTCTACATGACCATGGTATAACACAAATAATATGGATCGTATGATATAAAAACATGTATATGCACACCAGTGCTGGGTTTTTTCACCAATAAATGGAGTAACCAACATATAGTCCACTGCCAAATTACACTGCTAGATTTGTCACTGAGATATAGATGGCCTACAAAGCCAAGATAAGCACTTTGACGCTTTCACAAGATCATATTGTTTTACAATGGATGTTGCTATTCTACTGGGCATAAAGCCCATATTCCAGGTTTCCCTTTCCGCAGTTTTTATTATCGTTGATGTTGGTGTTGGCATATCAGTGCAAGAAAGGTATATTTGCACAACTAACAGAGTGCCTACCTTATTATCTGTTATACAGTAAAGTATCTATTAAGTTTTTCAGAGTTAGCTTTCAGTGTGCTGGTAACATTCTCACAGTTCTCATAGTAACATTCAGTATAAGGCTGTTTCTTGTTAGTGGTGTTATTTCGACCTCTGTAAAACAGAATTGTGCCACTTTTTTTGTGCTGATATGGTTTGTTTTACTGATCATAAAGCTTTTTGAGTCACAATTTGTGACTTTGCACAGCATAAATAAAATTTGCTTGACTGACATATACACTATTGTTGAAGCCAGCAGTGTAGTTTAACAAGTATAAATATGTTTGTAGCGAAGGCTGGATTGCCAGTTGGGCAAAGTGGGCTACTTCTCCAGTTCCCCAGAGCTCCTGTGTGTCTGTTGGTTTTTGCTAATTGGCTAATTTAATTTTTAATTTTACTTGTATGTGTGTTTGGGTATTTACACCACTGAAGTACAGTAATCTATCAAATCCTGCATATACCTTAATGCTATGGTCCTGTTTGGTGGAGAAGCCTTGTGTCACAATGTAGTCCAAATTATTTTTGAATTTTTATTTAGTATTACACTCACATGATACATACTCATAAGTAAAGCTTTGTTTCACCAAATTAACACAAAGTAACTGACAAAGGTCATCTAGTTAATAGTAGGTTTCTGTGTTTCTGAGATAAAAAAATTTACTGTAACCCCTGGGATGCCCAGACACATTAATTCAGCCACAAACAGCATGTTTTTAACTTAATGTATACTACATATACTCCATTGCCAGATTATTGGATATATCTGGATATAACTTACTACCTCCAAAACTGATAAAGCTTAATCAGTATATCCTTGAAACAGTTTCAATGAAAACTGACCATTATGACCTTACGTTAAGGTGAGATTTATGTACTAGGAGTGTTAGACTATACCAGTTTTAGCTAGATGTTTCTACAGTAATAAATTAAATAAGTATATTGAAACATACTTAATACTACAGTGTGTTTATGAGGTATTGCCTCATTTCGACCACTGACAACTATTGTTAATGATAGATATGTTCTGGTTTCATTAAGGAGCAGCATTAAAAAAACACTAGGGTTCATTAAAATTCTAGACCAAGACTTTTGCTTTCTCTTGCCAGTAAAAAAAGGTTTGAGCGAATCAAATGAGGCCAGACAGCAATTATAATTTATTGGCAAAAGTGTCCATCAAAACATTCAGTGGCAGCTATGAAACATGATTAGAGCATTTTCACAATGGGGCAAAATATGCACTAAATATGCAGTTATTTGTGTCAGAACTTTGTAAATTTGTTATATGGGAGAAACTTGTTTTTTTAAACCTCTAAAAATTGGTGTTTTCCTGAATACCAGCCTGGCACTGACTCGGTGACAGAGATGTACTCAGTGCAATCACACACATGCTTCGTCACATCGACACCTCTTCCAGCTTGGTTCCACCCACCTCTCATTTGTTTGACTGGCTAAGTAGTGACTCACAAGCCGTCAGTGTTCATTATACATAGGAATCATAATGGGTTTCCTGATTTTGTTGGCATGAAACATGGCAGTTTAATGTATTACAACCCCTTTTCAGACATAATAATTCATATATTAACATTTGAAATACATTATTAGGCATCTGACATGACAGAGATGTAATTTATTGAATATGAAAAAGTGGGTGGCACAGCGGAGCAGTAGTTAGCTCTGTTGCCTCACAGTAAGAAGGTTTTGTGTTTGAGCCCAGTGTGGAGTTTGCATGTTGTCTCTGGCTGCATGGGTTCTCTCCGGGTGCTCCGGCTTCCTCCCACAGTCCAAAGACCTGCAGCTTAGGTTGACTGGTGACTCTGAATTGCCCATAGGAGTGAGTGTGTGTGTATGTGTGGTTGTCTGTCTTTTTGTGTCAGCCTTATGATAGACTGGCAACCTGTCCAGGGTGTACCCTGCCTCTCACCCAATGTCAGCTGGGATTGGTTCCAGCCCCCCTGTGACCCTTGTCAGGATAAGTGATATAGATAATGGATGGATAGATATGAAGAAGTTGTTTTTGAAAATCTGACCACAAAGTCTGAAATGACATTACATGTGTTAAAAAATGTTAATTGTAACCACTTAATGTTCTCACAGCAGGGTTTCAGGCATAGACTTTTGTAGTGGGAGACAAAATTGCGTTGATATGCTTTGTCTCTGAAGCCTAATGGAATGCTGTTTGTGCACTTGTTCCAAATATTTAATCAATATGCTACATCACATCATAAAACAGAAGAAAGTAAAAAGCTTAGCAATCAGTGAGGAAAAGCAAAATCCTTTCACAGTTTGACAAAAGGTTGTATAAGTAGTGCTATGCAGACACTGAACGGTTTAAATATATGTGTTATTTGTTCTGTTAGTTTCTTTGTATTTCTTTGTTGATATACTCATTCTTCTACTTCATGACAATAAAGAGATGACAAAGCACAAACAGAAAGAACCAGACCATTTCTATAGGCTGATTATTGTTAATATGGTGATTTAAATGTGCTTACAATACAATGCCATTTCATCATTCCATGTTTCAAAGTCCCACAAAAATGGGTGAAATAAAGGGACAAGTGACTGTGAATCAGCTCTCCCTGGGGTAACAGCTTGACAGTAGCCAAGATTAGATTTTTTTTCCTGAACTAACATCAGAAAACTGATGGAAGACAACCAATGTCCCATATCCTGTTTTAATGAGAAAACAACGCATGGTAGTACTTGTAAATGTTTAAATGTTTTGCAGGTTGTATCATTATCAAGATACATGACTGATCCTGTATATTAATACTGCAAAAAACAAAACAATACAAAAAAAGGTTTTCTTTAAAACACATTTTATGCTATACATACGTTCCCTGTCTCTTCTCCTCCTGGACCACAGCCATGACCAAAACACTAAATTTGTGCTCCTGTAGGTTAGCATTCAAATACTTTTCACTTTTAAAGGCCTCTGGTTTTACACAGTCCTTTTCAGTCCTTTATCATTAGCATAACATAAACAAAATAAATAAAATCAGATTCAGCTGTTGAAATGAGTCAGAGGCAAAGTGCAATAAATTACAGAAATAGAGCCAAGCAGATATAGCTGACACAAGTAAAATACGTTTACAGGTTTAGACAAGGACGTCTTGTAGGCATTTCACTGATTCAACTGTGTTTTACTGGGAGCATTGTTCCCTCCTCATCAGCAGTATTCAGACACATGGCCTTGGTCTCTTTCTTTGTTCTTTTTTCCACAAGTCTGTCACAAATTAATGTTCAGAATATTTTTGAAAACCCGCTTAAAGTTCCCATTGCAGAGTGGGTATATAAAAGGATTGAGAGTGGAGTTGATGTAACCTAGCCAAATGGTGAACATGTGAAGATCATGGTGCACACACTCTTTGCAGAATGCCATCACCATGAAAGCTATGAAGTACGGTATCCAACATAACAAAAAAGCAGCGATTATGAAGCCTAACTGCTTGGCTGCTTTGTGCTCTTTATGGATCCTCAGGCTCTGTATACGCTGGCGTGACTGGTCAATAAACTTCTGCCACGTCACTTTCAGTGTCACTGCATTTGCTGAATCTAATTTGACTTCTTCAACCCCCTCCTCGGTCCAGGGCAGAGTGTGAGCGAGGTCATAGTTGTTGTACAGCACAGATGTACATCTCTGCACATCTGAAACCTGACTGACATCGCAGACTCTGCTTACTGAGTTTGGCGCTGTTTGTTTGTTCTTACTGCTACTCTCTGGACAAATCATCTCTTGTGGCACTGAGGGCGGACCCAGGGAACTCTCTTTGTCTGGCTGCTTGTCTTTAGGAGACAAGGAGCACCTTTTAGTCTTTCGTGCCATTCTGAGTCGTTTTGTGGTAATGTCAAGCAGTGACATCTCCTGGCACTTTACACCAATTTTTCTGTGTGCTCTCAATGGCGCTGTTTTGGTTTTATTTGCATCTTCAAGGAAATATGTTTGATCCAGAGTGTTCTGGTCCAGCAGTCGTTTTTTAGATAGTTTCACTGGAACCTCACTTTTCATCTTGGGTGATTTGGAGTCATCTTTGTCAGGCGTTTCAGTATTTCGTCCATGTTCATTTTCCCCAAATGAATCAGTGGGATGAATGATTCTCTCTCTGTCCCGTAGATGTTGCCTTACTGCCAAGTAGATGTGCGTATAAAACCACAGCATCAAAATTGAGGGTATATAAAAGTTGAAGACAGCAGTAATGACTTTAAACCACGTGACAAAGCGAAAATCTGTGTCACATTTGTTCTCCTTCTCTGGCTTAAGGTCTACATGTGTGAAAGACCTCCATCCTAAAATAGGAATAATCCATGTCATTGACAGCAGCCACGCTCCAGAAATCATCACACTGGCTTGGCCCCGTGTGCGATATTTCAGGTATTTAAGCGGCTGTCTGACAGAGCGGTACCGATCCAAACAAAGAATAAACAAGCTGAAAATTGAGGCTGTGCTAGCCACGTAGTCCATAATAAGCCAGAATTGGCAGACAGCCCGGCCTAGCTTCCATTCATCCTCCAAAATATACACCAGGTTCAGAGGCATAACTGTGGTCCCTACAATCAGATCTGCCACCGACAGGCTGACAATGTAGAGGTTCCCGACAGTGTGGAGGCTCTTCTCTCTCTTCACGGCGTAGAGAACAAGCAGGTTCATGATGACAGTGAGCAGTGAAAGCAGTCCCAGAAAGATTCCAAGTAGGGCATTGTGGAAGCTGTCATGGGGGGTCAGGGTGTGACTGACATTCATTGAGTCTCTATCAACAAGGCCACTCTTGTTGTTGTTGCTGTAATTGACATAGTGATTGGTTTTGAGGTGTAGAGGATTTGGGGAAGGTGATAAACCAGATTCCATCATGTTAGGTGCGATAGTCACCTCTAGATCCAGTCACATCATGGAAAGCTGTTGGACAATGTGTCTTTAACTGTGGGCCAAAACATGGTCAGGCCAGAAAGTTTTAATTTGTTTGTTTCCCAGGGTAACAAAAATTTTCTCAGCTTGGGTCCAGCACTTACAGCATAATGTCCGATGGACCTTTAAGTCTAAAAAAATATTCTTTAATCAGAGTTAATCAGTGTCATCTTGATCCACAGTCGGTTTTGTTATTTAAATCCAAACTGGTAATATCTGGAAAACATAAAGAACATCAGAGATTAGACTGTTTGTCACACAGGACTAATATAAAATTTAATATAAGATTTTGCACTTAAAGGTGTCCTCCTCTCAAAAATGTGTTTACTTATTTTAAACGTTTGAGCTCCAACTGTTCAAAATTATGTCTAAGCAAAGTTTTTACACTAAAAGCTTTTACAATCATCTGCTGAAGGGAGCATGCACGTGGGATATCATGCACAAAACAGGCCATGCTTGTGCACGAGAATGCTTATATAATAAAATATGCATGTAAATAATTTATACTGCCATACAGAAAATGAAAGTACAGTTATTCCTGCCTAGTTTTTTGTGTGCTACATGTTTGGATATTTTCTAAAATGGTTGTTTAAGTTTAATTTTTGTAGATTTGTATTAACAACATAAATGTGATTCTACAGGTAATTTTGAGTCGCCAATCAATCTAAACTGCATGTCTTTGGGAGGAAGCCGGAGTACCCAGAAAAAAACCCACGCAGGCACAGGGAGAACATGCAAACTCCGCAGAGAAAGGCTCCGGGTTGGCCTGGGCTCAAACCTGCAACCTTCTCGCTGTGAGGTGACATTGCTAAGCTGCTCTACTTGCACAGTTATGCTTTAGAAACTTAAAGCAACCCAGGCACATAAGCTCTTTCACCACCTGGTACCGGCTCAACTTGACTCAACTCTATTCTGATCAGTCAAATGTGTTTGGTATCACTTCCATCGGGGTTCCAAGTGAGCTGAGATGATACCAAACGGTGACTGTAAACACTGAAGCCTACCAATTGGTCAGAGAAATTTGTTACTACTATGTGGCCACCGTTAAACTTGGTGTTTACATGTGATGACACTAGTCGCTCGTTCTTCATTCATACATAATAGTAGCTGTGACTTCTCTCTCATGTGTCTTATAGCAGGTAAGATTTATGGTAACAGAGGCCTCGAGCCACTGTTACTATATAATACAATCTTGATACCGGGCAGTGTAAGAGGGGCTTTACATTGAGAGTGGACTTTTCAGTGAAGTAGTGGACACACTGTGTCCTGCTGTTCAACTTTTAAAGCCATCAATATTCATTGATAGATTCTGGGAGGGGGAGCACATGTAATTGTAAAATATTTTAACCATTCTATTGAAAAACTATTAGACCCAATAGATTTTTCAAAGAAGAGTATTTTATGCGGTGTAAAACATACTTTGAGGAATCTTTAAGAAAGCAGACTGAAGAGAGGGAAACTAAAAAGAACAGACGCAGCCAGACGCAAGTGCCTGTGCTGTATAAGGAAAGTTAAAAACAGCCTGACTCTTCCTGTGATCGTTTTACTTTTTTGGTTTGTAGATGCAGTATAATAGGCTAGAGCTTCTCTTGCTCTTTCATTTTCACTGTCCAGCTGGCTTTCTTTAACACTCACGCAAGAGGAGGGTGGCAAATCCCATGAATGACACAGCAGTAGATAAAACTGTAATTGGAGGAGAGGTGGTATAATATACTTTCCATGTTACAGTATATGATGGAATCTATAGGAGTTATAAAGTGTTATACGAGACCAAAACATTAATATGCTACAAAACAATTATCTCAGCTGTTGGAGATACATTGATTTTTAAGAGAGAGTAGACTA